TTTAAATTCTGTTTTCGGAATGTCTCCTGAAGCCAGCACTGCAAAAATACTTCCTGTTGAGGCTGGAATCTAAATACAAAATATATTGTAATTATGCGATACTCTCCGCGATCAAACGTACATGTAATTAAGCAATTTTACTCTCAGTACTATTAATGTGCTCCCTACTAATATTTTTATTAATCCTACTCCTCTTCCTGCTCCTCCTACTACTACTAACTGTACTAACCCTGCCAGCACACGGCCCCGGCCCAGGCGGGGCTGATGACGGGGCAATCCGGGGCCAAGCGCCTTTATGGACGAACTAAATTTATTGTACAGCTTTTTCGAAATCTATCTTTTGTCAAAAACGTATCAATAACCAATATTTTGCGTCTTCTTCTCTGATAAAAGAATCAAATCGGGGTTAAAATGAGAAAACATGGGCGCACGCTGCGAAAATGTTTTCCGGAGGCGGGACAATCCAGGTTGAAATCCCCATCCTCTGACGCCGTCCATGTGACACTGAATTCGACGGGGCCAGAGGCCGGTGATTTCAACCCGGCTTGCCCTGCCTCTGGGAAATATTTTCTCAGCGTGCGCCCACGTTTTCTCATTTTAACCCCGATTTAATTGTTTTATCAAAGAAGAAGACGCAAAATAATGGTTAATGATACTTTTTTTGACAAATAATAGATTTCGAAAAATTTGCACAATTAATTTAGTTAGTCCTTGGCCCTGGATTACCCCATCACCAGCCCTGCCTGGGCCGGGGCCGTGTGCTGGCAGGATTAGTACTACCTGTTACTCACACTTGCGCTGCATACTCATTCGCTCATTCTTCTTTTGCGAGGGAACTAGAATTCTTTACATGACATAATCGTAGGTCGAGCTGGCATATTGTGACAGAAGTACGCGCTAACCTATGCAGCTAACTTACCAGCCAGATCAGAGTGCCAATATGGCCATAAATCTAACGGGAGCATCCACGTCCACCAATATTTATATTCTCTATAGCTTCGATAAAATTAAAGATCGTTTTCAAATATTAGGGGTACGGGTAACTTTCAATTGGCTTAAGCTTTTCCCTCTGCCATTTTGCAATGACGTGAAGTTTACAGATAAAAGATTAGACCTAGAGGTAGCCTCTGTTTTTTGAATTTTTGGAAGGCCATACGTCCGTGGTATCGTTGTGTCTATAGGTGTCATCTTTAAAACTACTTATTTGATAGAAGACCTTCGTTGTGGAGTTATCTGAGAACTATCATCAACTAGACCCTTAACGGCTTCGGTCCGATCCTTAGCTGTCTCGGCTTTCGAGCACCTTACGCGATCCCTCACCATGCAGTCCGTCCTACCTATCAGTATTAATTCATAATCACTATCCGACCCAGTTAGTACAACATTTTAGTTTTTAAAAGGATCCTGGAACTACTGAGATTGGCATTTTCCAGAGGACCTTTGTTTCCTGGAGTCCTTTTAAATACTGTTGGCAGTAAATAAATAGGCTCGACCTAATATAACCAAATTTTCTACACTCGGTGGGGTTGATACCGGCATTCTGACTAAGCAGACTCTCCGAGTTGGATTTCGTGCTTTAATTGCTTTGACATTCGTTGTGTAATGCAGAACCTAGGGCCTACAGGTACTACCTCAAAGAAAGTTTTATCAGCACGGGCTGAAGAAATAGTTATGAACATACTGATCTGGACTGGTTTGCACTTTCGCCGATTAAAAATTTATTAAGCGTTTAGCCCATCCGGCTTCGAACTTTTGTACAGTCTTCCATCACCAGTCTCTCGAGGTTTTCAAGACGGACGAGGACTGTTGGTCTTTGGCACAGGTTCCGCTGAAGTTTCTTAATTCCACCACTGACAGTCTCAAGGTTACTTTCCGCATGTTGTCTCAGTGTGGCTGGAGAGACGGCAATATACTTTCCTCGTAAGGTTTCTACGATCTCGATAAGACGTTTGTCAGCTCCTGTGACTCCGCAAATCTGGCGTCTTACTTCAGGGATCCACTGACTTCTTTTAGCACCGAGCAATCTTTGGGCTGTTTAACTTCTGTGAAAATTCCCATTTCAAACTCGAGGTGTAAAGTCGGCATACACCTGTTTCTGATAATTCATCATCAGGCCGATAAATTTCAAGTCAGAAAATATGACATTAACAAGTCAGGGTTAAAGGTCTCAAACTTGTAAGTTTTATTTTTCCTAAATTTTCCGAAGCGCAAAGCATTTTCAACATTTCTTTTTCCTAAAGAATAAGCCAAAACCAGAAAGTCATAGCACTTTTAAAATCAGCTACCCAAATTGAAAGTGAAGGAATTTAGATTAGAGTCACGACCTAAAGCATTATCCCGCGCAATGCAATTAAGCAAAACAGGTCTACTGTTGAAAATAAGAAAAATGTTCGTCCAGATAGCGTAGTTTACTCAATCGCCCTCCCACCCGATCCACTCTTGATTTATCCCATTCGCGCATTCCAGTTCTGCAAGTTAATAATATTCAAAGACGAGGCGCGCGGGGCGAAACTCTCACATCTTTAAAGCAGGAATACGATAAACCTGAATTATAGCTACGGGTTGTCTTGGTTAATCCTAACTTTGGTAACTAAGAAGGTTTGATCTATTTGCTATTATTCCATGATTATATAAAGAACTCTTAAAAATTGGCATGCAACCAATAATCTACTCTGATAATATTGCGCCAGTTTTAATCGGCGAAAAACGAGTACTCGATCAAACATTGACTTATTCAGCAACTCAATTGCTAATTATATTTGACGCGAATACATAAATGCTTTAAGGGATCTGCTCAGTGACCCTAAAGTAAACAGATTAACACAACCTCGTCCTAGGTCAAGTGTGGGCGGAAGAAAGGGCTTGTTTGTGCTTCGTTTTTCAGGAGAAAAATTTATATATCCCGACCAGTAAGGTCCGGATAACATTTAACTGCACGCGTGACTTTTTACCAACTGAGAGAAATCGAACAATCTGTCAATATCCGCCTATTTAAACCGGCAAGACAACGATTCCAGGATTCAAGGGTTAGAGTGCTAGACTTCTGATCGCGAGTTCAAGCGTCAGGTGATGCATCACTTGGGGTTGGGTATGACTGGCTGATAACAGCTAATGAGGCAGAATTGGCCTTTCCAGTCTCCTTTTGCCTAGACTACTCTCCATTGTGCTTTGGCACACGGAGATTGAGCGTCAAGGCTGAGTGGGACGGTTGAGTTCCGATAGCGATTGGTGAACATGCATCAACGAGGGGCAGTCAGAAGGTTCTTTTCGGCTAGGCGAAATAATCCCATAATTTTATATGCAAATGTCTGATCGCAGATTTAGGAAAAGGGAGAATGAAGCCGAGGGGTAGATTGGGCAAACCATTGTGCCTCATGTAACGCAGTGTATCGACATATCAACACGCGATTGTAATATTTTTGAACGTTAAATTAGTTCTTTTTGTCATCAGCTGTCACATTCAGAGAAACGAAAAGGCAGCTTAGGCCTAAAAAATCACATTGATTTTCATTAAAAATAACAGCTTCTAGGAAATATCTTGTTTTGAAGGTTTTGATAAACAGATTGAACAGAATCTAAATTTATGAAAAAAAACTTGAAACGACTGAAGATGGTGACATATTAACCGGAATTTCAAGAGCGAGATAAAGCTAATTGCTCTCCAATAAGTGAAATATCTACTGAAAAATTTTACAAAATGAAAGGCCTTTTATTAGGCACAAAAGGATAGCCTTACATTTATTGGTGACAGTGACAGTGATTTCTCACGTCTTCAGTGCTTACTGATTTTTTTGAAAGGCTGGTATTGCAGAATAAAGTATTAGTCCTTTTCATTATTGACTTAAGTCTTAAATTCGCCTAAGGTTGTCAATTCTGATACCAGAGTCTTCATACATACGTTGGTGCCACTTTGCGGGTAATTATTAAGCTTTTGAAAATTTTGAAAATTTTCATGAGTTAGGTCATCCAGGTACTATACCATTTAAGCTGGATTGCAACATAGGAGCCTGTTGAAGATAAGTGCATTTGTAGATGCTAAATTCAGTCAAAACGCCCCAACCTTTAGCAAGGGTAAACCAGAACGTTGATGACCTAGGGGGCAAGGGCCTAACTGACAGAACACCTTTTCTCAGACTACGAATAAAATTTGTTTGTGATCGTTGATAATGCAGATGTATTTGGATTTGCAGAATAGGCTCCACGGGACAGTCTTATAATTTCTTATGACTACATGATTTATCTGCCACTCTTCTGTCGTAGAATTGTTAGCAACAATAGGGTTGCCCGGGTACTTAGATATCCATAGCTCCAGGATTATATCCCACGGAAGTAGAGCTAATAGGGGTTTTATGCTTAGGTCATATCACAGGAAAGAAAAATTACATTTAAAGGTAGCGCGTATAAAAGCAGATAATAACATCAAATACCTATTTACAAAATCCTAAATTTGCACACGATAATTAAAATGACAAATACGATTAATAGGAAACGAGAACTGAGCAAACGTACGTGCACGTAGGCGTGCAAATAAGTCAAAATTTAGAGATTAAAATAAGACTATGATAGATAGGCTTTTCCGCATTTTTTAAAAACTCGTAATAGCATTTGGACAGACATTGAAGTACAATAAGCCATAAAGCAAACGAATGTCACTTAAAAAATTAAATTGAATTACAAATTAAGCTATTTAAAACTATAACCAAAATTAAACTAATAAACTAGATCATAAAAGTAAAACTAAACTTAAACTGAAATCTATAAAAATAAAAGTAAACACATGAAGCTAAATATTTCCGAGCGCAGCAATAAATTAACTACAACTAAATTACATGTAGTAGCTACATAAGTACACATACTTCTGGACCTCAGGCAACTTTATTGTTACTGATTTGCTTTTTCAACTCGTTTGGGCATCCTACATCAGTTTTTTTGTATTGTTCTTGGTTTTCTCCCTTCTCTCACACATACAAGTGGCATCCTTTGTAGGTGTTTGCTCACACATGGACGACCGCAGCAACTCAGTCGGTTACAGTGATCGAGATCACTACAAACTATGCAGCAACTCCAGCCTGAAAATCGCCCTGGGTTTCGGCATCTTCTTTCAACTGGCAGCACTCTGTTTCGGCATCAGTATGCTCAGCGTTCAGTCCTGGGCGGACATAACCGTGGGTATTTCCGATACTGCCGTGAACAAATACGGCAGAAGTAGGACCTTCGGCCCAGTTTCGGAGTGCTTTAAGTCACCATTTCAAGGTAAGGCACATACTATCTCTTTAGGAATTCATATAAGCCTTTGTTTGCATATCATCTGTGGTCGCATACTATTATTAGTCCCGGACGTCTATCCTTAATTCTCCAAACTTCCTCCTGCATATAGCCTACCCTTCTGTCTCCGTTTTGACTCCTGCCAACCTGGTTATATTTCAATTCATCTCAGCATAATTATTTCTTTTCTTGCCCTTTTGCTCTACACTCCTCTGCTTCTTTTATACAGGGTGTCCCAAAAATGTATACACATTTACGATAATTGTAAACTTGTTGTTTATTATAATTTTATTATTTAAAAAACGAAAACATATTTAAAAGTGTCATTTTATTGTTTTTTCACTACATTTTGACTATGGAAACAGTGACTTAATTGAAAAAAACCATTGAACATGAATGCACCTGAACACAAAAAGAATTGTGTCATAGTGTTAAGTATTTCATTGCTTCGAGGTGTCTGCAGTGCCGTGATCAAAATGGACGTCAGTTTGAAAAACTTAAGTGAAAAAAGAATAAAATGATGCTGGTAAATATTTTTACATTTTATAATAACAAAGTTATGATAAACACTAATTTTACAGTTATGCAAAAAGTGTATACATTTTTTGGGACACCCTGTATATTCGATGACACTTTATAAATTTTGGAAGCCTCATAATTCTACTTGCACTCTTTTTCATTGCCTCGAATTTTTTTGTTGTCGTCTATTTGTCATTTTTATTTGTCATTTCACCCTCCCTTTCAACTCCTTTGTATTTATGTTTATTTCCTCTTGTCTCCGTAATGCTCTAATTATCTGCGCAACCTTTCACTGTGCTGACTCTCTTCTCTCTCACGACCGGCACCAACAGTGCCACCCACATCATCGTCATCGTCATCATCATCCTTATCACCATCATCATCAGCACTATCCGCATCAATTGTCGTTTTACATCCCCGTTCTTTCCCATTTTTTTCTTATTATGTAATCACGAACGCAGTGACTCACGCCACACTTATTGGAATAGTCACCGCATTCTCCGTCAGTGACTAATGGCTGAGCTGAAATTATTTCCTAGCAGATCAATCATTTGGCTAGAAATAACATGACTACCCATGGGCGCCAAAATTCAGCACGTGTGATGAAAGTTCGGTAGGTCATGATCCGCATATCCACCATCAAGAAATTAG